ACTCAGGTTAATCAGTTCATTCACTCAGACGCAGTCTGGGGACATCATCCGCCAGCTGTTCACAACTAACAAGACTCCACAGAGTAAGAATCCAGAGCATTTCATCAGATCTAGGAGCACTGCTGGAGGCGAGCATTATCTAATGTCAATATGTTGCAACCGATATGAAGTGTAGCAGCCATTTTGTGTCTGAGCACCTGACAGTAGCCAGTGACTGCAGTGGATGGCGCCAGAGCAAAGCAGAGTACATAGTACCATATCGTTAGAGTGGAAATTTGAAGACGAGACTCCAATGAACTGAGCAAAGACTATTGAGCTGAGATTTTCCAAATGCGTGTGTGATTGTTTTACAGAATATTTGATATACTGCAAAGATGCGGTAGCAGATGTGTCAGGTGAAATAAACTTGTCTTTAATTAAAAATTCTACACAAAATATATAAAAACTGGCTAAAGTAGACATCTTCTTGAGAGCAATACAGAATATCTTATATATAAAAATGAAACCTTTCCAATCTTGCATCTATGCATTAACTAAAATAAAACATAATATCTCAAATCCTGATCGCCAATCAATCCAATCCACAAAACCATGAAATGTGTAGTCTTGTGTACAGTTTGTACAAAAAGCAGCCACCAATGCACTTGGTTATTTTGTGGTCACACAGTGTCTTATTCTGAACAATGTGGATGACGAACAAGACATTTATTTAAATAATATTAATGTTTTAAGTGCAACAGGATTTCTTTTCCAGTGACTGGATATATGAAGAAGTACAACAGAGACAATGTGCTCACACCTACCACAAGACTTTATGCTTCAATGAGGCTGCTATTGAGAGTGTATCTGATGTTACACAGTTCTTACTGAGAGAAAAGATACTTTTTTAGGGAAAGCTGCAGTGGTGGAGGGTAATGCATGGCTGTCAAAGCAGCAGCAACAGCAGGATCAACCCTCCTCAGACACCGCCTCTTCCCCACCCCCTTTTACCCTGTAAATTATAGCAGCACTTTAGCTAATGAAAGAGTTGAAGACCGGGCACTAATAAAAGCCATTAAGTGAATAAAGCACTTCCCCCTCTAACAAAATTAAAGAATCTACCCATTTGGAGAGGGAGGACTTTGTATTAATATTTATGAAATGCGGAACCCGGTGGCCCCCCCAAACTCCCCAACCCACGTCCAATCCTAGCCTGACCAAGTCCTCCTTGCCATTGCACCTATCCCAAGAGAACATCACCAACCCCTCCTAGCTTGAAGGAGGGGCAGGAATCGGGGACTTGAAGGGTGCTGAGGACGCAGTCTGGACAGTCTGTCTCAAGTAGAGCAAGCTGGAGGACCCTCCCAAAGACAGCTCAGCTCCCGACTGCCTTCAACTCCCCTCAACCAGCCGCAGCTACATCTTCGACTTTGGGGCCAGCGGATGGAAAGGTGGGTTTCATGGGAAGACCAGATGTATAGACGTGACCTTCCAAAGACAGCAGCTTGATGTTGTCAGTAAAACACAGTAAGGTATGACTACGTCTCAAATTTTGATCATTTATCGGTGTGTAATTTTGTGCTTTAAATCATTTATTTCTATTGATAACTAATTGGAAACATTTAAACTTTTCTTCAGTCAAATTTAAAATCAGATCCTGAGATTTATGCACAACAGTGAAACTCAAAACTTGTCTATTTTTGAAGGGAAAAACACCAAACTCAAGGTAAGAGAGCATCATAATGTGTCACAATCATCCACGCATTAAAAACCATCGCACCATCCCATCAGCCATCACTTCAAAACATCCTCATTGTTGTGAAAAACAAAAAAATCTGTTCCTCCGCCACCATCCACCATCCACCATCTTCGCCCAAAGTGCTCCCATTTTCACGCCATTTGGTCGCCACCACAAACTCCAGTTTTTTTGTCTTCAAGACGCATAAATATGCATCATGGTGTAATTTCATCACCCAAAGTGCCTCAGTTGCCTGAGCTGTTTAAGTTGATTATGGCACCATGCTTTCTCATTTTAGTAAGACGTCCCTGGGGAGCTGAGACAAAACCAGCAGGAGAAGGTAACGAGATTGTCAAAGCTTTTGGAGAAACCGCTCTCTCAGCTTGACTTGAGTCTTTAGCATTGTGCTCAGTGACCGTTAACGCAGTTAGGGAGAAAATGTCAGGAGTGGCCGCATCTTTACTCCAAGGAGACGGTGAATGTCCTCAGATGGACAACGGCGATAAAGCTGTTACTGTCATTCTGGAGTTCATTGTGTCACTGGCCACCAAGACTCTTCTTTATTTTAATCAATTACAAGTTAAATTTGAGTGACTGGACTCTGCTGCAGCTCACTGATGAATTACCCAAACTTAGTTTCCATTGATCAGTTGAAGACCACCCAACAGACTGATGGAGAACTGATTTAATTAAGCCGCCCGACTGCAGGCCTGCTGTAAATCTTTCCTCGAAAAATGTACAAAAAAATCTACGTTTGTATCAAAGAATTGAATTTCTTTTAGATTTTTTTCTTCGTATCTGGTAGCGTTGGGCACGAAGAACTGGAGGGAGGGGTTTGACGCAGTTTGTGCGCAGGAAGGGTGTAGCCCTTTCTTTCCGCAGTGAGTGTGACCTATGACTAATCTTCTTTTTTTTATTCTGCAGATGTTCTTAACTGCGACTGTGTTCTTTTTTTTGTAATCACTGTGTAAACCGGTGTTGCCATTTAAATTTTTTGACAATCAGTCTTTGAGTCCAGATCTCCGCCCTCACACCTTTGGACATTTTCGTCTCTTGTACTGCCGACGCCACCAGACCACTGGACCGTCCTTAAACTGTAAGAACCTAGATAATACTTTGTTGTTGTATTTCTTTTAGAACTTTTGACATTGAACAACATTTACCAAGAATGACGAGAAAGTAAAAAAATTTTTTTGTGTTTTGCTGTTTATTTTCCCCTAACTTGACATCTTCAACGTAGCTTTCAAGTGTCTCGGATACCTCACACTGAGCTGGATCCTGTGTTGGGTTTTTCGTCTTTGCCCAGGGCTCCATTGTGCTTGATCTAACCATGCAGTGCATCTTCTGTCCATGGTTGTGCCAAGCACCTTGGAGGCTTCGGAGCACAAGCTGCCTTCTGTCGTGAACTTAAATGGAAAATTCAGATTTCCATTTTCAAGTCACTGATGTACTCGTGCATTGTCTATATTTAAAAATATTAAGGAAATAAACTAACACTGCGATATTGTAAAATTCAGACTATAGAGAACATAGGCACCAACTCTGGAGCAAATGATACAGAGGGACCAATAATCATGAGGTATTTTTAATGTGTCTATGATCTTCTTCTTCTTTATTCTTTTATTATCTCATGATGCCATAAGATGTAGGAGTATGACCAATAAATAATATCGAAACAACCTGTGTGTTTTACTGGTGCCAATTTGTGTGTGTATGTGTGTGTGTGTGTCGCTGGGTTTATAGCGTTCACAAAGATAAACCTGTCATTTTCTACAAGCTGGTTGCTTCCAAAATGGTAGATTTGTGGAAACGATCAATTACATTAAGTGCTCAGTGGCTTTTAACTAAGGCTAATAATTCCAGCTGGTGGAGGTCATATATTAAAACAATGAGCTCTGTGTTCAGACTACGGACACATCACACATCTGTAAATCAAACTGTGAGACATTGCGCAATTCCTGAGACAGACAAGCCGTGGCGGTTCAGACCGAGAGTTCTTAAAATGATGATAAAATTATATTGCTCCTGTTTCCATGAAGTGCTCGGATACTTGTTTTGAATTCAGTCTGTGGTTTTTCAAAAAGTCAAATCAAGTGCATCAAACTAATAAATTTGAAATGATTGAACCAGACTTGTTTCTTCATGACTCAACTTTACTTTATATAACAAAATATAAAATGTTGCTGCAGCAGTTTTTGGTTTGAATTACTATCACGAAGACCTTTGCTGTCATGAAGTGCATCAAGAGACTTGGTGTGTTGTATGAGTCAATAGGCTCCATCCTGGAAAATACATATTTCCTGAAAAAGGCACCCTGCTCTGTTTGGGAAAAACAATCTTACCCGTTAAACTTAAAATGATGGATAGTGTTGCTGTTGGTTTCACCTTCATTTTGTCAAACTGCACTCTACGAATAAGGTGGTGTGCTATACTTCAGCTGCAGCTGCCATGTTAATACAGTCATTATGTTTAATTCTGTATTTCTTCTTTAGCAAATGTATTAAGTATAAAAATGTTTTCTAAAGGACAGGCGTCTGTAATTACACAAATGTGTTCTATTCTGGTGTCTCAATAAACCATGACAGTGACTCTGAAGCAGCGAAACAGAATTCAACCTTCAATAACCTTAGACTGAGCAAACTTCACCTGGAAATAAGAAATGACACAGAAACTACATTTACAGAGCCGCCATATTGTGAGAACAAACCCTATGAATGAAGTTTCATCTATAAAAAAGAATACTGTGACTAGGTAAAAGCCTTGTCAAGCTACAGAAGATCAGTGGACATTATGATGTGATATACTTAAAAGGATTTGGCAGTAACTATGATGAAGATTTCATTTCCTTTCATGTTTTTATGTCATCGGTTTGAATGTAGTTTTTTTATTCTCAAATATAACTAACTCTGACAACCAATGTCATGCACATCAACCTCCATGCATAAACATTAAAATTTAAATAATTTGGTATTTTTGCTTTCTAATTTTTAACATGGAGACCATTAGAAGAAACCCTATCCCGTATAGTCTGTCATGATGTTTTGGGAAACAGCTGCAGTTTTATGTCAATACTTCATCTTGTAAGATCGAGCTGATCAGCTGAGCAGACAGTGCTTCCAGTAAAACCACGCAGCCCGTCACTGACCTCAGGTCCAGACGGGGAGTATCTACGGTTTACAGATTATCCAATTAGACTGCTCTACGGCGGCTGCTTTGCACAAACACAAGGCTGATCATCTTTTTTCCTCTACCCAGACAGGTTGACAAGCAAGAGTGCTCTATAAACAGTAGGACACACATGAAGGTCAGTTTATTTGATCTGATTAGTAGCGCTTCCATTTCGTTTGAAATCACAGGGTTACAAGTGCTCCAGCTAAAAGAATTATCCACACAGTTCCTAAATTAATCCACAAACAGAGTAAGAAAATAAAAAACAAGAAAGAAACACACAATAACAGACTGATGCAGGTGGCACGCAGGTGTCGATGTTTGACAGATCATCAAAATTTTACATTCTCAAGCTGAACATAGAGAAGTGTTGAATATTGTTCAATTGGGACAGTGAGATCTCATTTGTCAGTTTGTTTTTGACAAGACACAAGATAAATATCAAAAACATTTCATTTCCTCCCTCACATGTTCAAGCACATCAAGCACACGTTTAACTGCAATTTATAAAAATCAAACAGCAGTAAAATACTTCACTACAGAACAGAATTGGACATTGTTTTTAAAACAGTGGGGATATATTAATACTTTATGTGGGACTTCCTTCAAGTGGAACCCTACATGCTGCTGACTCGTGCAAGATGTGTTAAACACAGATGTATTTAAAGATACTTGCACCAGATTGTCATGCTGTAAACGGTGTACTTTATTAGGCCTTTTTTATTCCACAGCATGTGGTGCTTTTTGTACATTCAAAAAAACACCCCCTGCAAACGGTCTATGGACTAACGAAAGGAGGGATTTAATGGAGTTTGAGTAGGACCAACACGTAAAAACCATATAAACACAATGCAGGAGAAAAACGTTACAGAGCTTGTTCTATAAATAAGAACAGGGAGTTCCAGTTGACAGGTTATGGTTTTATGAATTTTGTAACACAGAAAACACAAACACCCATAATTCAAATAGTGCAAACTTATGTGACACTTGACGTCGACACTGGAATAACACTTTTTTTTCTGAGCTGAATAAATGGTGTGAAATGTAAGCGAATAATTATGTGGCACAAGTGCTCAATGTTTCTCTAAGGAGGAGCTGGTTTATTAAAATGTGTCTCAGTAGGGTCGCCTTGCTGGAAGTGCATTAGTACCATTGTATCTGAGGATTTATTTGGTTGTAATAAGACACTATGCCCCAAATGCTAAAGGACTGGTTTACCTTCAGAAGGCTGTTTTGTCAACACTGGACAGTGTGACACCTCAACTGTGCTGACACCAAACCAATGCCATCCCCCAAACACAAAAGAGCACTACACTTGACATTTTCAACTCAGTGGACATCTGTTCCAATAACAGCTTCATTGGGTTAAAGAGTTTTTTCCAGTTGTGTGAAAATCAAAATGCTCATGCTGCAAGCAAACAGGAAATCAGTTGCTTTAAATCCGTGAAATGCGGGAACATGTTAGAAAGGATCTCCTGTCGAGGCCTCAGTGCAGGACTTCATCTGTCAGCGCAGAGATCTTGGCCATGTTTTTATGTTGTAGTGAAAATGCCAACCAGTAGTTAGTTCTAGTTACCATTCTATGTCCACTGCCATGCAACCATTTCCATGGGGATGCTGCTAAAGTGATGTGGCTGCTGGCTGTATGAACAACCTCAAGGAAACCGTGTTGAGCAATGGAAGACAAGACAAAGAACATTAAATTGAGAGAAACACTGCTTTTGCAAACAGCATCTCTACAATTGGCAATTTTGGCTCGACTGTACCAATGGTAGCAGGATACACATCATTACTAAAAGAGGCAGAAAATGCCACATGGCATTGGTTGGCCAAGGGCGGCAGTCTGGATGACAATTTCCATGGCAACATTTGCTCCAGAGAACTGTGACAACTCATCTACAACCAATATAACCATGTCTATGGATGGACTTCCAGTGTATTTCGTCACTGTTGGTTGCAACTTCCATTTGAAGTTCACAGTTTACACTATGTACCAAAGTAGTTGTTGTTGGAGGGTTTGGTTTCACCACCCACATACCCCCTTGATCTGCAAAATATCCATCTCAAGCGTAGATCTGACCAGAACCACCGTGACGCTCCTGGCTCGGCTGGCGGTTGTTGTCGCTGGATTTAATGACACCTACGTAGTCGTGGATCCCAACCTCCAAGTTTTTGGCCCTCAAGGCAGCAGTATGCAGCTTCTGTAGAAAATCAGGCATACCTGCCAGGTGCAAAGATAACACCTCATTATCAGAGAGAACACACACACACACTTTGCAGGCTAACATGCAATGTATGTGAGCAAAGAAATATATTCTAAGTAGAAAAAGACTGTAGCAAGCAATGTGCAACTTATGAAAGGAGCTCACCACTTGACACCATCCAGCTCACACAGTAACGGGGAAAGACAGTCTGAGGGTCGTCACTGTAGGTCAGCAAGTAATCAAACCCATTCTGAGGAGAAAAACAAAGTAACACTCAGTGACGACAAAACCATGTGCAACTTAAACTAATTCTTATGGCAACACATTGATCACAAACCTCATCAAATGACTTGTGAGGACGAATGACCATCTTTGACTGGTACGAATGGACTCGCACAAAGTCCTGAGTCTCTGGGACTCTGGGATGCTGCACGGCTCTGCACAAAAGAATTATACAAAATCAAATTAACAAAAAAACTAATCAAACTTGTTCATTTATTAATGTATCAAACACTACAAAATTCTGTAATTTATAAAGTCCTACCTGGATACTAAGATCATCAGGTTGTTGTCAACATCAACATCATAGCGACGCACGTAGACATAGTCCCTTGAGTACATGGGATACTGTGAGGGGAGATTAAAAAAAGATTAACAAGTGACTATCAGAAACACAACCTTATGAATATAACATGGCTACTATTTACTCTTGTCCTTCACACTTGACTTGAACTACAAAAGGGTTGTGTGTACACATATTTGGTAAAACAAACACACTAATAGCTTTATGCAAAATAGCAATTAACAAAAACTCACAGGGAAGTGTGTTGCCCAGTGCACAATTTCAGAGCCTGTGCTGACATCTCTGTCCACCACCTCAAGCTTGATAACCAGAGAATCCCACTTCTTCCTGTACTCTGTATCCAACTGGGGCAAAGGGGAAAGCACAAGTGAAGGTTAAAGTGCTTAATATAGCGCATATTGTGTTGCAGTTGCTTTTGTGCTGCACATGTACCGTGCAAACATGCAGGTTGTGCAAGAGCAGCTAGGTAATGGAATTGCAAAACAAGTCGCTGTAAATTTATCATAAAAACAATCCATAGTAATAAAATAATCACATGTGAAAGTCCCACTGCTATAAATATGAAACATTCAACCATTTATTAGCAGTTGTATATACTTGCATAATTAGTTTTATTTCATTAGTTGCAGAATTAATGGTGAAGCTTTTTCCCCACTCATTAATGTTTTCTTATAGTAAACCAGTAATAAGTAGGTTGATTCCTACATTGATTGAGACTGATATTGCTGGTAGCACACAATGTGATCTGGAAAATCTGTACCTGTACATTGAAGAACTGTCTCGGTGTGACATCATTGTAGGAGCCAAACACTGCAATTGAAACACAAATAAAGGAAGTTGACTCTCTGTAAGGAAAACCTTAGCAAAATCTGATTTTGTGCTTTGGCTGCGTTTCAGAAACCCAGTGAGAGCACATGTGGAGATTGTGTGTTGGCTGACCTCTGTATTCGTAGAGGTGACTGTTGGGAATGGGCCTCTTCCACACCCTAAAGTCTTTCTTCTCAATCACAACTTCCCAGCATGAATCCTGCTGTCCAGTCACAGGGCCCAAAGATGCATTGTGGCGTTTTGCAGCATCCAGCTCCAGGATCTCAAGCCCACACCTTCAGAAGGGATGCAAATGTCAGGAGATTATGCTTACAATGCTACACAGTTCAAGTCAATAGGACATACATGGACTGCACATACAAATTAGAGAGTTTAGACAGAGACCAACTTCAATGGTCCTTTGCATAGATTCTGCACGTGTCTAGAGAGCTTTAACAACCTTGTTCCAAAAGTTACTCTGTTTTAATGATAATTATGATGATCTGATGAATTTAAAGCATGTAAAGCCCAGCATTATTATACCCTAACCATTTAGTGATCCCTGCACGTGTCACCCAGCTGTACATCAGAGCATTCAAATCAATCCCTGTGTGCATTTGGAGAAAGATTTCCAACCTGCGAATTTCCTCTTCTTGAATCTTCTCGTTGTCCCACATGAAGACACCGGCCAGGGCGGCGAAGAGTTTGCCAGTGGGGGCATGCTTGTTCTGAAGTCTGCGCCATATTGACCCCACCAGGCTCCACCTGGTGCGCTCGGAGTACAGGTTGGAGTACAGCTCGCCGATCTGACAGGCGCGTCGGAGCCTCTGCCCGGTCACAAAGCTGCAGTGGTCCGCGAATATGGAGAGCAAGCCCTTCCTCTTCTGGGCTGACCCGGCGGCGGCCTCGTCCGCACCTGCCCTCTGGATCCAGGACAGCAGCAGGCCCATGCTCCTGCTCAGCCACGGCACCTTCTCCAGCTGCCGTCCTCCCTCCGCGACGCTCCGTCTGAACGAGCTGCTGCTCCGGAGCCTCATGGTGCTCACGCCGATCTCGCAGATCGGACGACGGGGCACGGAGTGAAACATGACGGCTGTGACCGTGACTCAAGTTCTCAAAGGCAAAACAAACAGCGGACTCGCTAACGCACGTATTAGCTACAGTTAGCTACAAGGCTAAAACCCCCGCTGGGACATGCATTGCCTGAGAAAAGGGCTGAAAAAAAAGTTATGTTATCGAGTATTTTTAGTCCGTTTCTGACTTTAGTTCCCGAGGTGCACTGTTAGCTAATGCTAACGTTCTCTCCGATAACAACCTGCTGGCGCGACCCGGACAAACACACACCGACCCCGCAGCACCGGTGTGTTCGTGTAATCGTTCTGATCCCCGGACACACGGTGATCTACCTGAGAGACCCAGCTGGAGACGGACACACGTTTTCCACCTCAACCTGCAGGACGTTTGACCTCCTTTTCCTGCTGCCTCTCACACACCCACCCTGAAAGCCCGCCTCGCTGCTTCCGGAGCGGCCGATCATTGGACGTTCGCTGCCTGGACGTGAATGTGATTGGTCCTGGCGACAGTCTGTCTTTGAAGCGCAGCAGCACGGACGCCAGCATGTGCGCCTGTCGCTTTGCTAAAGCTAAAGCTCCCCTCTGTCGTGTTTCTCCGCTGATTTGGGATCAGATTTCGTGTCCGGCGGCTGCTAAGACGCTGGAGGACATGGAGGGTTTAAAATCTTATCCCGGATCAGTGTGTGGAGCCACACCAGGGAGAGGAAGTCGTCCTCGGCTGCAGATGTACTTACACGCCGAGTCGGTGCAGCACAACAACACGTGTTCGAGGCTGTTTCACAGGACATCATGTTCACTTCTGAGTTCAAACAAACCGATTTAATTTTATATTTATTTAACTTTATTTAGGAACATGTGTGCTGTTGACTGATTTGACAAAAACAATCAAAACCTGTTTTGTCATTGGGAAAGTAGCAGAAGTAAATTTAGTTATTCCATAGTCTTGCAATTAAAATATGGGGAAACTCTTGGAGGGAGCAGCCAATCTATTTAAGAAAAATACTAACCTTTATGTTGAATCAATACAGTCAGAAAAAAAACTATTAAAAATCAACATGTCCAAGTAATATACACCAGGTGGCGCTATTGACCCTTGTGGGCGAGTCTGCAAAACTCCAGTGAGTGTACTAGCTAGGCTTTAACTCTGGTTTAACTCTCTTAAGTGTGCAATATCCATTCTGTCAGTGCAATACAATACATTTTGTTATAGTATTATTATCTTTACAGTATTGCACGTTACTTAATACTATTTACTGATGCCTATTTTTGGCTTCCCATTGTGGGACTAATAAAGGATTATCTTATTTTATCCCTGGTATCATGAGGCTCCACAGGAATCATTGGAGGCAGTTGCCTATAGATGTATCACGTTTTCCTTTGTCCAACACTGTCACTTATTCAGCCACTCATTCAGTTATCTTATGTAGCATAACTTGTCAAAAAGATAAAATAGGTCAGGAGTAAAACTTCTGACACGTTTTATTCTTACAAACAGCTGTGGAGAATATTTAATCCAACTCTCCAGCTCTCATGCACATTTCATCACATTTTATTTTGAAGTCATATTCTGTCCTGCTGCTCATGACAGGTTTTAGGATCACAAGACCATGAGACAAAGATGTTTCTAAAGAAGCTTGTGCAAATGCAGCATGTGCCTCTGAGTGTACTAAGCTCAAAAGCAAATATCCAAACACAATCTTCAGTTTTTTGACTGCTTGAGTAGCAGATTTGCATACATTGACTATACTACACTGAGAGAAAGTGCTGAACCCAAAATTAAGACCAGCCATAGATTCTGAGTCCTTCTTTGACATTGACAGTCCCACCATAATCTAATCTGTGATTAAGTTGAGGTCACGTTTCTGTAACTGGCCTCCAGTTCCTGACAAGGGAGTAAACAAAGAGTCCGGCTATTAGTGTGAGACATTTGGAGAAGACATAGATGTTTGGAGGTGAATGGTCTCTCTGCAAACTGCTGGAAACTGAGGAGTTCTGGAAGAGACCACAGACACATGCATAAAAAAGAGACCATGAAGACACAGGCCACAAGCAGCCACTCCCTCCTTTGTGGAATGCTGCCTCCAGGTGCACGGACAAAAGTTGTAACTACAAGTATCACAGCCTACACCCTGACCAACATTTCCCAACAGATTGAGGGGAAGAGGAAATTTTCCATGATGTCCATAAAACATGACGTCAAGTATGTGGGAGACATAAGTGAGCTCCTGATAGAATAATAATACAGGCTGCTATTACAGCAAAATCCCATGTGACTGAATAACTGAAGTATGTTTGGTCAGTTTAAACTTTGAATCAACTAAACACATTTTGTCATTTTAAGCACCCCGTTCATTCAGTACACCATGTCTCTCTTGATGAACACAACAAAAGAACAATCCCCCAAGAGAAAAAGACTTTTGTTGGAAAGTGAATGTTGTTTTCATTTCCGGCTGAATGCTCTTGAATGAATGATCTTGTAACGCAGTCAACATCATCACTGCCGCCGGCTGTTATTCTGTTTTGATGTGGCATTGTTTCCCTGTAAGCAGCCAGTGGTTGCTATGGGAAACTGTGACCATCTGTAGCTTATGTCTGTTTACCCACGAGGCTACGTTTGAAATGTGGTCGCATGACAATTAAAATGCGTACAGACAAAAACACTAGCTTGGATAGATGCACTAATATGACACTGCATTCTTGCACTGGTAATATATATATATATATAAACAAACCTCCTACTACCACTACTACTATTAATAACAATTATAGTAATAATAATACATTAAAGACAGTTGTTATATCAAAATTAAGAGTAAAAAAATTGTTCTGAAAGTATAGTTATCTATACAGATATAGTCAGATAATATACAGTTATGTCTGGATATTGTATTATCAAGTGTGAGAGTAAAGTTTAATATTAAACTATATTTATATCGAACTGTTCAAAAAACAACTTTACAGAGTGCTTCGCAGATATAAAAGCAGAAAAAATATATGCTTCTCAGACATAAACAGAAAAAATTGCACACAGACTGACAGAAGGCATGAGGTGAAGAAATCATTTTGTTGTCGTCACAGTTTATTTAAACTGAGCTAAAGTGCAGAGATATAGAGAAAAACAATGCTGTAAAAAAAAAAGAAAAAGACACCCATGCAATGAGCGCATGATGAGTAAATAGAGAGAGAGAGAAAGGGGGAGAGCGAGAGAAAGAGAGGGAGGGAGGGAGTCAAAGAGAGAGACAAAGAGAAAGAGGGGGGAGAAAAGGAGAGAGAGAGAGAGAGACAAAAAGTGGGAGAAAAAGAGAGAGACAGAAAGAGACAGAGAGAGGAGAAAAAAGAAGAGACAGACAAAGAGAGACAGAAAGAGGGAGATAAAAAGAGAGAGTCAGAGAGAGGGAGAGAGACGGAGCGTGAGGGGGAGACAGAGAGAGAAAGAGGGGGGTGTATAGGGGGCGCGGTTATCTGAAGAGTGTGTCCAATAAAGTAGAACCTCCCTGCTCTTACTGGCAACAGCGAGTTCTCCACATGCGGCAGCGAGGCCTCCATTCAAACTGAGACGCTCCTGAAAACACGGATTTATTTCACATCGACTCTGAAAACACTCTTTTGATTTTAGTCTTTTAACTCGAGGCAGCTTTTGTTTTTGAGGGGGACCAATTTTCAGAATCAATTTAGATCATTATCCCGCGCGCGCGCTAAAGCCGTAACGGTGCGTGCCGCGCTCGCAGTAGCTTCCTGACCAGCGCCAGCTATTCTTCCCGGGACCGACAACTGCAACGTGTGGTGAGTTTCAGCTCTCGACCTTCTCCCGTCAGCGGCAGAAATAAACATCTCCTCCGGGTTCACTCGCCGAAGTTATTGGGGTGAACGTCGTCATTCGAAGCTAATGTTCCCGTTAGCAAGAATAACGCTACGTCCTCAACGATAACAAGCTAGTTACCAGGTTGTAACATTACATGTAAGCGGACACTTAAAGGTCAGACATCTTGTTTTGTCGATGTTAATGGTTTATCTGTAACTTCCCACTAACAACAAGGTCTGGGCAACATTTGATTCGCTCCAAGGGTAATGGCGCAAAGAAACATTTTATTTCCTGTTAAAGCTAATGGTAGCAGTATCGATTGTGTGTCCAGCACCGACTGGACAGGTCCGTGGAACTGGCTTGACAACTCGACGGAGTCCGGTCAGTCCGTCCGGTGGAGGCTTGGCTGCTTACAGCGAGTCACATCCGGTCTGGAGTCACGGCCCCTTTTTCTCGGAAATCCGCGGAAAAAAGGCGCAGTAGTTTCTGTAATGTTTGTTATTATCGCATCGTGAGGATAAAAAACCTTGAATCTAAACCGGGCGAGTTGTTTTTTTCCCCTCTGTTGAGTCGCGTGAGACCGTACGAACAGATGGAGCTCGTGCTCGGGGCTGTGTTCAATGAATGGATGACGACACGTGCGCACGTAAGGAAACCGAGGATACCCCCTAGTAGATGAGACACGCCTTTATCTTATAACGTGTTATGTTGTCAACGTTGCTCCGGAAGATGACGGCTGAAGTATTAGCGAAGTGTCTGCGTTAGATCTGACTTCTGGTGTCCTGCAAGAAGCCGGTTGCTTCCTGCGACACACATCAAAAATGGCCACCAATAGCGTTTCCAGACAAGGCAGCTAAAAGAGCTCGTCCTTCCGGTCCAATCGTTTACTACCTTTTTACTACCATGTTGTTTTCTTACTTTGAAGAAGCAGAGCAACCCCCCTCGTTGTATTATCCCTGCGTCGTTGCTGCCTTACCCATAAAGAGGGAATGAGGAGGAAGTTGTTATTAACGCAAGTCTTCTCTGTCTTTTGTTTCCCCAGGATGCACCCCTGCTCATCTGCAGTTACAGTTGCACAATGGCTGTCTTGTCACTCTGCTTGATAGCCCGGAGCCCAAAGGACAGCAACAAATCCAGTTCAATTACCGGATAGCGATACGCCCTCATCATAACTGTTTACCTTAATTGTTGTCTGGCCAATCCCAGATAAACCTTTTGCGAGTTTGCACTGCTAAATCTCAGAAAACCCAACGTAAGACGGGTGGCCGAAAGAGAAGCTAATTATTTATTTTTACCGTGTACCTCTTTATTTTATTAGCTGCTGTCTAGAAATAGCATTATATTAATATTTTTTGACATTCATTCCCTTTAAGATTGTGAATAGATTCTTTATTAGCCTGCAATCATGGTTTCAACAACTGCAATTGCAATAATACTGACCAGCACTGCAGCCGTAGCAGCTCACACTCCTATGACTGACTACATGTGGCTGCTGATTGTCGGCTTCCTCATCGCCTTCATCCTAGCCTTTTCCGTGGGTGCAAATGATGTTGCCAACTCCTTTGGCACAGCTGTTGGCTCTGGGGTGGTCACCTTGCGACAGGCTTGCATTCTGGCCACAGTGTTCGAGACCCTGGGCTCTGTGCTCCTTGGGGCCAAAGTGAGCGAAACCATCCGGAAGGGCATCATCGATGTGAACATGTACAATGGCACCGAGCATGAGTT